GTTGTATTTTATAACAATTAATTTTAATATACTTACATAACCTAAAAAGCCTGAATAGGCTCCTGATTTTTCCCTACTCAGAAACACAGAGACATTGTAAGATCTTAATATATTAGGTACACACACACCCTATATTCATTAATCACATTACTACCCGATCAATATAACCAATATAAATCAGGTTGGTGAAGGAAGAAATGGTGATGTGGTGCTAATGTTGTGTTTTGATTTATTAATTATAGATATTTATTATCCTTTACATTTGCTTCAGTGTAAATAACTGTGGCCAACATGTCATTAACATTGTTCTATGCACATAATTTAGAGCTAATGTTTGACTTTTTATTCATGAGCTGACTCTATGGATTTTATTTTTGCTGTTTTAATCAGAGTGGCTCATTTATGAAAAATTTATTTGGGATTCAAAACAGTTTTTTGTGTTGTTTTTTGGGTGTGTAAATGGTTTAGTTAAATTGTTGGCAAGAAATGTTGAGCGTTTGCTGATTTCTGAGAAAGATGGTTGTGCAGCAGCTTCACTGTAAGGAAAATAACAAGTTGGGAGAGAATAACAAAGAATACTTTGGGGACACACGCAAACACTTCCGCCTGAAGACTCACGAAGAAAGAAATTCAAGAAAGTCAAAGGACAAAGAGAGGAGAGGAGACAGACAGCTCACCTGGAACATGACCCTGTATTGTTCCTCAGGTTTTTGGACCACACACATGTTGCACCCCATCGTGGCTGCGCAGGTCCCACAACTGCCCCAGATGACCAACGCTCACTCCAGGATTCTTTGTGCGGTCTTTGTCTATGGCAGTGGGAGAGCCCCACCCTCATTCGCAGGGTTGTAGCATACAACTAGTCCTCAGAGTAACACACAACACATCCCTGGCTGGGAAGAACACAGTTTAATTGGCTGTGTCACTGTTCGCTTCTCTTCTGTGCTGTTTGCAGCTCAAGTGTTGTAATCCAGAGTAAATTTAAACGTGGAGATAGTTTCAGAGCAGCGAGCCCACGTGCTAGTTTCTGTTTCCATGGCAAGCAGAAATGTGTCTTGTTTAAGTTTGTGTGCTTGTTGTAGATCAGGAAGGATTTTTGACTGGATCTGTGGAAAAGATGTGCTTCAAGAGTCCTGCTGGTTTGTGTGTCATTCAATAGATCAGGCATAAAATGTTGTGCTTATCCAGTAACTTTTCAAAAATAATCACACGGAAAGCTTGCTGTAAATTGCTACAGTGGCTTTTTAGTTTGAAAAACTGCACTAAAAGACAAAGTTTTCCCAGAAGAACTCTCGCTGAACTCTCCCACGCTGTTCCTGAGTCTTTTTCACTCAAAGAACTAAACTTCCAAAAAGCACGTTTTCAAAAATGCTCTTTGAGCCCGTTAGATGCCAACAATGCAGCTATCAAAGAATTTGCCTCAGTTTTGTTTTTTTCCTTCTGCTATCATCGCTGCCACTTGGAGCTTCCCACATACTACACTCTTTCTCTCTTTCCAGGACTGCTGAGTGTGGCTGCTGAGATAATTTAGCCTCTTCAGTACCTTTTTTAGAACCCTCTTTACCTATTCTGATCCTCCACTTAACGATCAATGCGTGTTTAAAGTAATTTCATAATTTAAATCTATTGAAATGCACCGAGTAGGGAGGTGGGGCAGGTTGGGTGGTGCCCGTTATGCCAGTAGCCTGGATCTCTAAGCCCTTGCTGTGCAGCTAAGATAAGCTGCGTGCCACAGACAACAACCTAAAGACAAGCACACCTACAGACACATCAAGACAGGAAACAAGACACGATTCTTTCAACTACACGCTTTACTGCACGGAGGGAGAGCCAATTTTCCTATAACTATCAGCAAAACTGTCATTTTTCATAAAGCTTCTCCAAACAATACAAGCAAATAAAACATACAGAAACTGTAAAGTTTGCAGATTGTTACAGCAAATCGCAGCATTTATCTGATCTGTTGTCAGAAGTCATGACCAGTATCAAACCACTTATATTCAGCTATACCATACTCTCATGGGTTGGACCCACTGATTTATTATAATTACTGACACCTCCTATCCTGTCTGTGTTGGAAAATCAATACAAAACTGATTCATTGATCAGCTGGATTTTGTGCTGGGTGGGTCGTTGTTGAGCTCAAGGTTCTTTATGACAAGTACCACCAATGTTCATCCTACATATCCAATTAATTCATTTAGAAAGGCACCTTATTTTTTTATGAATTTGCAGACATGCTCTGCACTGTTACTAATTCTGATGCTTTAGTTTTAACTCTTCAAATAAAGCTGTTGTAAACTGTCTCACTGAATTTAAATATGAATTGAAAATCCCGTTTGCTTTAGGATTAGCCTCAGTCTGCCTCCTTCAAAGGTAACTAGAATTAGAATATGCCATATTCCTGTCTCCTCCTTTGCCCTTTAAGTGTCATCATATTACTCAGAGCGTTATCATTAATCCTCCAGCAAGAGGTCATAGTTTGAAAGTCTTGTCTCAAAGTACCATCGCGCTGTCTGCTGCCAGTGACAAGGTGTTACAGCTGCTAATCTTTATTCAAGGCTCTGCTACACCTGTATTCTTTCCAAAGGCTGTGTAATCCCGAACTCCACACACACACACACCGAGTGGCATCCTCACTCACACAAGCACAGAGGAAAGCTAAATACACTCAATGAACCGCATGATAACTTGGGAGAAACAACCTGATAGTCGAACTCTCGAGAGCAGACGGCCAATCAACCTATAGTGAAGTGCCAGACAGGCTCAGCAGGCAAGCCGGTTCCAACTGTCACCCAGTCTTTCCACCTCCTGCTCATCATCATCATCTACCTCTACCTGAGTGTCAGTCCTACATGATTGTTGCAGTTGAGTGTTTAGGATGTTTCCCAGCCTGCCATGCTTTCAGAATAAAATATGGCATGGCACACTGTGACAAACGCAGCCTTTCTGTTAGAGTGGTGGGTGTAAAAATATATGTCCTGTGCTTGTGTCAAAGTTAGTCCATCTTCAGTGTGCTGCAGGAAATTCAAGAACATCAGTCAGTAAGTCCATTTTAATCCTTCTTTTGTCCTCTGGTCTTTCCCTTTGAAACATCCACAGGAGGATATTTATTTGTAAGAAAAGAAATAAAAACCATGGCGAGTATTCCAGGTGGTTAGAGTGTTGTGCAGAGTGCAGCGCTAGTCTCAGGTCAGTGATAAATCACCGTCAGCAGCCTCACAAGATGAGAGAAATCATTAAAGGCTGATTGGAGGATACTTCTTGGCTTCTCCCCCTGGGCAAGACGATAAATGCACCCCCCCACTGCAGTAGAGGGGGAGAAACAAAAGGCGGTTGGTCCCCAGCGGTGAAGGAGCTTACTGATCTGCACGTCGCACTACTACTAAAACTGCATCTTCTGGTTTTACACTGTATAATCTCTTTCTTCCTCTGTCTCTCCCCCACCCTCTTTCTCTCCATATCCAGGGCTGGGCCACTGCTCTCTTTTCCAGTCCCCCATAATTTTTACCCACACCTCATTTGCTACCCTCTCCCTCCTCCTTACACTCTCCTCTCCCCTGCCTCTCTTGCTCTGCTTGTCTGCAGGCAAGAGAGCAAGCACTAGAAAGTCTATGCGCTCTGTTTCGGCAGGACAGGACAAGATAACGAGCAACGCCACATAAAAGTGAATGAAATATCGAGATTTTCATGCACTGTACTACCAAGACGTGCAAGAAAAGTGGGGAATCGGTTCATTTAAGCAATTCAGTGTCAACCCTTGTTGAGATGTATCAGAAAGAAAAAGGATGATTGCACTTTTTCATTCCAATAAAAATGCCCAGAGCAGGTAGAGAGCTGATGACTGGCTGTGCATTTAGATGAGGTTCTGTGCTGCCACAAAGAAGGAGGGAAGCGAAACAGGGGGGTGGGAAAAGAAGAAAAACAAGTGAATAACAGGTGTGACAGGATAAATCGAAAGATATGGAAGAAAGCCAAGATAGAAAATGCAAATGACTGTGTGGGAGATCACTGGTGAAGTGGAGAAGGGGTGGAAACAAGGGGTTTCTGCAGTAATCAAAATGACCTGCTGAGAGGAGGGTGAGGCGGAGGCATATGGAGATGTTTCATTTTAAATATCTGCACAGCCTGGGAGATATTTGTGGGTACAATTCCTTCTCCCTAGTTTTCCCTGTGGAGCTCTGTGCTCACACTCAGAACACCACTTATTTTCTATTTAGAAAGGCTTTAGTGGCACCTTTGCTGCAGCGCCAATGCCAAGTACCACAAGGCTGGAAAAGTGAGACGCTCCATGGGACAAGAAGGACATGCTGCCATACTCAGATTAGCCTTTTAATTTTCTGCCTGCCACTTTTCTGTTTTTCCATCTTTATATGTGTGAATCCTCTCTAATACATCACACGTAGACCCTTAACTGCCATTTAATTAAGACCACCCTTTTGTCAACACCTAGTCCTGTGCCACTTAGTTTGTTTTTATCTGCTGCTCTCTCTCTCCCTCTTTGTGTCTCTCTCACACACATTCAGCCTCCCCTTTGTGTGTGTTATTCGCTGTAAGCCAGTCTGAAACAGGATTTCATGGTGGCTGTGTCTGGTTCAACAGGCTTACATGTATTTTGCTGCATAGCCAGTAATACCGAATGCACCCCGCACACTTAGCAGTACTCACAGGAATCACACACACACACACGCCGATCCCGTTGTCTTGTTATCTGTTGCACTCATGTGCATCATTCAGCCCCAATCTGTCCACTTTAGATCTTCATCTCAATACAAAATGTCAGAGTGTTATCTTATTATCCTCTGAAATATCAACTGTCCGTTCCACAAGGAAGAGAAAAGTAGAGAGCATCGCATTTAAACGGACAGATCTGGCTCGCATTATGATCCGTCTCCAGCTTAAATACCAGTGGTTGTCATTTCACATTACCCACCACTGCTTCTTTCATTCCCACCTGAACAAAGGGGACGTAGCCTGCAGGTCGCCGCCCTTATCTATCTCCACTCAACTTCACCTTTGTCATGGCATTTTTTTAAAAAGGGCATTTTTAAATGGAAAAGCTAAAAAGCATTTAAATCCTTTTTGGTAGTCCTCTATGAGAGCTACGTTGGCGTAATTTATCAGCATTTAGCATGTAATTCTTTTCCTTTTAAGTTGTCAATTCAATACATAAAAAACTTGGTGGTTCTTAAAGGTGCGGTGAGACAAGATAATGACAATTACTGGTTTGAAAGAAAGGAAAAGAATATACTGCTAAAAGTATTTTTAAATAATGAGTACCTTTGGAGAAATTTAAAAGAAAGGAGATGCAAATTATTTTTGTAGTGTGAAGTGCTTCACTTTTTTTCTTTTTTTGTGTGTTTCTGGCACATTCCGCATTGCTAAAATGAACAAGGGAGATGAATTGGGAGCTTTTGTTTTGCAAAAATGTTAATGGCAAACACTCAGGAATGGCAAGGTAACAACAGCAGTGAATTTCAGACGCAGCAAAGAAGTTTTTTTTTTTAAGGGAGAACGAGACATAAAAGAGTAGGGAAAAGGGAATAATCGCAGGGAGATAAAAGAAGAGGGGAACAGAAATATGTAAAAATGAAAGAAAAAAGAGAAATTGCATTCCCACTGAGGCCTTCCTTTTCTTTATCGTGAGGCAAAAGGCAGCAGAGCAATGGAATACTGGCAGAATTTTAACCGTGTTCTCATTATTTATTTACTGCTCTGAGGAGCACAGCACCAGTACACAAGCTGCAAAAGAACCACAGTTTAAAGGTCTTTTGTTTGCGTTTTTGCACATATACATACAAAAAAAAAAAAAAAAAAAGGAAGGAAAAAAAAAAGGGGGGGGGGGAAGGGGGGGCAAAAGCCGAAGGGGTTAAGAACCAAACGGCAAAACAAAACCAAGAACGGGAATGGGAAGGAAGAAAAAAATGACCCTTGCAGCAGCTTCATTCACATTCCACAGAGGTTACTGAGTGTGAAAGCTATTTCACAGAGGAAGCAGTGAGGGCCAGGTGCCACAAAGAAGCATTGCGATGGCATGAGATGGGGGCTTAGATAGACTGTGAGGAGACAGAGAAATGAAAGAATGATAGAAAGGGAAAATGAAAGAAGAGGCTCTGTGTCTAATCTTATTTGAGTGAACGAAACTTTGGTCTTCAGAAACACAGAGAAAGCCATATATACCAGAAGCTTTCAGCTCCGCGTGTTTTGATTTGAGTTTTACGCTGGATGCCCTTCCTGATACGCAATCCTAAAGGGGATTTGTGTTTATGGCTGGAATCAAACCGGCAACTTTTCAATTGCCAAACAAATATGTTAGGACTGGAGGTGCACTGAGAAACCTAATCAAATTCAGGTACGTCAAGAAAATAAATATGAGCGCAAAGCTGCACAAACAGTTATTCATCATATGCGTTTGCTTTTGTTTTTTGTTGTTGTGAATGATATTCTCAATCACAGACTGCATATGTTTTAAAAAAATTACTGGCAGCTGCCAATGCCACTCCTCAGACTCCCAGTAGATGGTATGAATTTAAAAATCCTAGGTGATTTTCAGAAAATTTGACCTTGAGATCAAGGTCACTGAGATTCAAACTTGAGCGAGATTTTTTGTTGCTGCACCTGTGGTATGAATTTGAAAATCCTAGGTGACTTCCTTCTTGAGTTATCCTATTCACAAGATTTTCAGAAGACTTGACCTCTGACCTTGACTCTGAGGTTGAGGTCACTGGGATTTGAACTCATCCAAGATTTTAACGAGCTACACCTAGGATACCACCTTTCTATGTTCATGTTTATGTCGATATCGGCTACACCTCAAGGCAGGGTTTCTCTCTAATGATGATCTCTGTTCGACCTTTAGACCTTGTTTACAATTTCATTTCTCCAAAGAGAGAAAGCTTTGATGTTTCTACGCAATTCATCATCTTCAGTGAAACTCTAGTGGATAATATAGTATTTGCAAATTTGGCTAGTGTCAAATTTGAAAATTCAAACTGACTAGAGATTTTCTGAATCCACGTGCTGTCCTTATGTTATTATTGACTCGCTGGTCAACATTTTTCACAGTACCTTTTTAATTCAGTTCAATTTGCCCCAAGTTGCCCCAAGGCACTTTATATTGTAAAGTAAAGACCCTACAATAAAAGAGAGAAAACCCCAACAATCAAACAACTCCTTTTGAGCAAACATTTGATGACAGTGGGAAGGAAAAACTCCCTTTTAACAGGAAGAAACCTCCGGGAGAACCAGGCACAAAGAGGGGCGGCAATCTGCCGCAACCAGTTAAGGGTGAGAGAAGGAAGACAGGACAAAAAGGGATGTGTACCTTTCAGATTGTTACTCAAGAATTTGTTGCTGACATTCAGAAAGTCTCAGTATTCCAGTTTTCCTAGTTATCAAGCATCAGAGTTGATGAGATATTTAACAGAGAGTGTCGCTTGAATTAAACAGTTATGATACTGCTGTTTAAGTTAGCCATAAAAGCTGAGGAACACAGATTTAGAGCATGCCAATACTGGAATAAACTGCAAAACTGTGGTGCAGATGTACACTATGGGGATTCTAATTCCAACAAAATATTTTTTCATGTCATCTTCAACTGATGAAATAAAAAGGTTGATCAAGTATTTTGTAATTGTTAATTAAAATCATAAGATATGAATGTGTGGCTTCGCTGTTTAAATGTGACTGTTTAGAGGCAACAGCCACAGAGGAATTGTTAAACAAATAATATGAGTTTGTAAAATTAGTAAGTAATAGCAGTTCTGAAAGCGTGTGTATAGTCAACTCTCAGCTTTCACCATTGGTCGTGTGTGTGGTGCCAGCACCAACAAGCCTGGGTACGCCTCACGTCATCCCCTGGTATCTGTTTTTGTTGACAGACTGGATGGACACTACCACCACTGACATCACCTATTAAGTTGTGAAGTCCAGTGTGAAATCTTGTCTCTTTTGCTTTCTTGGTGTTTTGAAACATTTTGTTGTATTCAGAAAGATGTGAAACTAGCCAGTGTCCATGATCAGTGAAGCTGAAGATGCACTTTCTTATAGACTCCTATACAACTGCGATTAAAGAAGTTGATCTTTGCCAGCCTTTGGAAAGGAAGCAGGTTTAGAGCATGCTAGCTTTGCAAATATGATCTCAATTTAAATGAAACTTCTTGACAAAAATCAAGGTTAACAAATAATAAATGCAAAAAACTGGAAGTCTTTCAGTGAGGACTTAGCCTCAAGGCTAAAACATTTAAAACTGAGATTCGGCTAAAAAGAGAGATGTAATAAAACCTAATAAAAAGGATTTTTTTTTTTTATGAAAGAGCGGAGGGGCGTGACGGAGACAAGCAGACACACTTGAGGCTTGTTCAGCTTTATAAGGAATTAAATTATCTGTCTATCACAAGGGGCTGGCAATCATGTGGGGCATGTAAGTCCTCTTACACAAATTAATGGCTTTTTGTGGTAGTCAGGGTAACAGTGGCTTATTCCCTAATGTCAACCTTTTCTCAAATCCTCACTCAT